TACTTAGATCACTTTCCGAAATCAAGAGAGAGCAATGGAAGTCTTATTTTTCAGTACTGCTATTATCGACTAACATTTATCGTCAAAACATTTTAGTTTAAAATGTTAAATTTTAGTCTATCTTTAACTAAAATTTAAGTCCTTGAGAATTTTATAATAAGTCTTAAAAAGTCCTTGAAAAGTACTTGAATTTTATTTTTATAGTAGAGCATGAACCCTGTATATTATAAGCATTTTATTTTGTATTTATAGATTTCTGTTCTTCGTGTTATTTTGTCCGCTGTTAAAATTGAGTCATCTGCTCGAACATTATGTCAAAATGGTTTACTAGTATGGCTACATAATATATTAGAACAGTGGTAAGTAGAAATCAATTATTGTTATGATGATGACTTGTAAATTTTCATTTCTGTATCTTATTTTTTGACTGATTTTAATTTTATTCATTTATTTATTTATTTTTGTCAAGGAGCACTAGCTTGGTAATGACTTAAAGAATTATCCAACTTTTTCTTTGAAAACTGGAATTTATGACAATTTTTTTATTTTTAGTTTTATTTTTAAGTAAAATTTTCAAATAATTAAAATTCAAAAATGTTTATTTATAAAATTCTAAGCTATTATGTTTTTTATTTCTCGAAAAGGTACTGATTTTTTTTTCTTCTCTTTAGTGAAATGACTGATGAAATATCACCAATTTTAAAAGATATTTTTGAAAATGTCAGTAAAGCTGATGCTGAAAATGGATCACTAATGCTTTTGCAAAAGTTAAAGTAAGAATTTGTTTTCTAATATTACATGTACTAATATTTCAATCACATGATATTCTAAATTAAATTTTCAGAAAAGATATATTATTTTAATTAAAAAATATTCAATGAGATGCATTTGTATTGTAGTTACAAACATTTGCCTTCTAAATTTTAAAATTAATTGCTAACAATAAACTAGTGTCATGATTTCTTCAAAAATTTCAATTTTACCTATTCCTTAATGATCTTATGCTCTTATCACTCTTTCTCAACCTAGTTATTTATATCACCAGGGCAGCCACTTTCTCTGGAAACAGAAAAAAAACTATAATTCTCATTCAATTTCAAAATACCACAGGGAAACCTGGGATTGTGTTTCAAAATACCACAGGAAACTGTGTTTTAATCTATTATTTATTAGGCATTAAAAAAATTTTCCTAACTATTCATTATACTACTCATTTATTTTTATTGTCATTACTTGTTTAATGAATAATTTGAATTAGTTTTTTTGTTAATTCTATTTTCTATATTAAACAAGCATTTTTTAAAATCGCTTCAACCTATAAAGAATATTTATGAAAATTAATACTGAATTTTTTTAATTATGATTTTTTTTTAAATGTCGGGAATATTTAATGTGCAAAACACTGAATAAATTCCTATTAAAGATATGAGCAATTTTCTGCATTTATTGTAAATTCCTAATAAGCATATGTGTAAATTTAATTGCATTTAAAATCAAATAATTTATATTACAAAATTCTGCACAATGCGTTTTCTCTGGAAATCTCAAGGAATATGGTTATTGTCTGAAGAATGTCCACACAATCACGTTCTTCTTTAGTAAATCTTTCTGTTCCATTTGCTGAAAACGAATTTAATATCGGTTTTCTGATAACTAACAAATGATGTTTTTTTTTCTGAATGTTTATATAGTTGTAAATAAATGAGTTCTAAACGAAAATAAATTTTAAAACCAAGATCATAGATTGAACCATCAAAACCACAGGGTTGCCCACATTTGAACAACAGTAAGAGGAGCACAAATTAAGAGGAACATTTTATACATTTTGCAAAGCACTTTTTAGAGTTAGGTAAAATAATTTAATAGCAAATCAAAACTCAATTTATTAATAAATTTAAATATTTTCAATGTGTGTAATCAATAACTTACAGCAGAAACAATAACAGTAGAAAAGAAATCAATTTATTGAAAGAAAATAAAGTTGAATGTTTTCAATGCATTTATTTAATAATAGAAAACATTTCCAGAAGAAGAATGAAATGAAAAATTATAGTAAAAAAACAAGAATTGTTGCATTTAAAATATTAAATTCAAATCAAGTGTAAATATGTAGATCAGGGGTCCCCAACCTTTTTTCACCTAAGAGCAAATACCAGAATATCGGTCGAATGGCGGGCACCATTTATTTTTTCAAGACAAATTTATAATTGATAGACATAGGTAATAATAAACACTACATATAATGCACAGAAAGTTTAATTGAAAAAATTAATTTAACATATGAATATAATTAGTATTAATATTCTTGTGTAAAATAAATTATTACTAAATTGCTTTCAAAACATACGAAGTATAAAAATTATTTATAAAATACAGTCAATGTGGTCTTTGGCATGGCATTTCTTTGGCCAGCGCTTCATAATTGGGAGAATATGATGAAATTCCTGCTCGCAAGCAATCGTTAAGGTGTTCATCTGTAAGTCGGGATCTATATTTTGATTTTATGATATTCATTGTCAAAAACAATGATTCGCACAAGTATGTGGAACCAAGAAACGACTTTATTTTATGTGCTGCTCTTTTTAAGAATGGAATTTATTCCTTCAACTATATTCCAAAATTTCTCATCTGATATAACAGTTTTGAGGATAATGTCATTCTGAAGATCCGCAATTTCTATCTCCACTTCCTCTCGCCTTAGTTGAAGAAATTCTGAAATGTATGTTGCTATTAAGGTTGCGTTTATTTGGTTGGTAAAAAGATTAACAAAAAAGGTTATCAAGGGCTCGATGATATTAAATTGTTGAAAACTTTTTTCAAATTGATCTTGAAGCAATTGAAGGTTGATGATAAATGTTGATAAGTCAATTTCACTGTTACCTATCATTTTTTTCATGTTTGGAAAATGCACAAGAGACTTCATTTTGAAATGTGATATCCACAAAACTAGCTTAGCTCTGAACAAGTTTATAGCCTCTATCATTTTTGCTATATGGTTGTCCTTTCCCTGCAGCTCCAAGTTTAAATTATTTAGTTTTTTTTTATGTCCGTTATGAAAGACAAATATGCTAGCCAAATAGAATCTCTTAATTCTAAAAATGTTTGATCTTTGGCTGCAAGGTTATTTTTAATTTTTTCATTTAAATATAAAATTAGAAATCTATCAGGTACTTTGCCTTTACTGAGCCAGCGTACTTCAGTATGTACACTGTTCAGTACATAGCATTTAATGGGAAAATAGAAAACTTAAATATTTTATCGTTGGTCACAAGCAGCGGGCACACTTAGACCTGTCGACGGGCGCCATGGTGCCCGCGGGCATAGGGTTGGGGACCCCTGATGTAGATAATATTTTCCTTTTTATACCAATAAATTGTATTCAAAAATTAACAAAAAATATTTTAAGTGCATAGTATTTTGTAATAACTTTTTTTGTTGTTACCAGTAATGATTTTTCATATAGAGATAGATATATGATGTTTAAGCTTCGTGAAATGTAATCTATAAAATCAAAATACAGTGGAATGGTCCATAAAGGATAAAAAAAAAAATTCTTTTTTCATGTCAAATGACAAAAATATTATTTTAAATAAAAATATCATTATTTGTAGAACTAAAGACACAGCTGATTGGGCATAGTTTCAAAATGTTGCGGTGAAACTTCGTTCAATGTGGAGCAGTTAGCAACCCTGTACACTTACCATGTTAAATATCATAGAAACTGAAAATCAATTATAATATTATATGTCATCAGTAAAATTTACTCATAGCATTGATCATTGATTCTTAAATTACATTAGATATCTACAACCTAAGCAGGCATCTATAGAAATAAAAAGGCAAATTTACTCTTCTTAATACTGCAGTGAACTATGTTAAGTGGCTATTTCTGTTAGAAAATGTTAATTTTTAAACATTTTTCTTAAAATATAAATTAATAATTAATTTTTTAATACAAATATTAAAATTTTAATATTAATAAATATCTTAATTGATGGATTGATATATTTGGATGATAATATGTGACCCATTCCAGTTTTGAAATTTTAATTATTTAGAAATGAAACTTCATTTATTGCTACTTTTATTTATACATTCATTACCTGTAAATTATTTTCAGAGAGCATCTTCTTAAATCTTCCTTATTGAATCATCACTCCTCTACAGTTTCACAAATGGATATCAGTTGAGAATTTGCATTTTATATCACCTGTAAATAGGCTTTTATAAATAAATAATGAAAGAATAAAATTGTCTTCATTTTACTTCATAATTCTGTTTAATTGAAGTATTTTTGTAAACCAGCTATTGTTAATATTACTTTTACAGGTATATGATTTTCAACATTTTTACTGAATTCAGTAATAATGTTCAGTTGGCAAAAAAAAGGACCATCCTGAATAACTTTTGATTATATGATTGGATTTTGCGTTCTAGGCTCAAGCCCACTCTTATATATACTAATCTCAAATATATTAATAAATAAGTGTAGACAATATTTTAAGTTATGAAATCAGACACAAAAATGAACTTTCTCTGAATAAACATATCTTTTTTTTTTTTCTTGACAGATTTGGATTTCTGACCCACAAAATAAAGGGGGGTTCAAAGTTTGGACTCCTGGATGTCAATTTTTCTTTTTGCGTATTTCACCATATCTCAAAAACTTTTTAAGCATTTTTTGCACACAATTATAACATTCGTTTATCCAAAGGTAATTCCATGTGAAAAATAATTTTTAATAAATATTTATTATTTTATTCAATAATGGTAGAAAAAATTTTGAATTGTAAGGTATACAATTTTATACATCATTTTCAAAATGTAATTTTATGTATCAAAATACAAAATTTGAGCAAAATCCATTGAATAGTGCCTGAGAAATAGAATTTCAAATAAGTCAGATGCTTAAAATTCGATTTGATATAAAACTTTAAATTTTTTTATTTTGTGTATTATGTATTTGAAAATTAAATATTTGTAAAAAATATAGTCAGCTATATAGTTTTATAAGTTTATCAAGCAATTAGTAACTACATTAGGAAGATCCTGTCATCAAAATGACTTGTCGAGAATGCAATTATCGCTATTTCCTTTTTCAATATTTCTGTTAATTTAAATTGAATTTGTTTCTCTAAACCTGATTCTCATGTTTTTTTTACCCGTTAATCATTACATCATTAATGTATCTGAAATTTTTTAAATTATCTGCCTTTGAAAAAAAGTTATAAATAAAGCAACTTATACAAATATAAAAAAAAATATTTTCTGATAATTTATAATATTCAGATCCTTGCCATTAACTCTTTCATCACGGCAATGGCACTTTTTTGTCCCATCTTTTGTTCTAAGAGTTGCCCTGCAGCACTAAAATTGAAACAAAATGCAAATTCTTTTAAGATTTGTTTATTTTACTTTAAAAAAAAATAGTTATCATTAGCAATTAATAACAATACTAATACAATTTTAACGCATAAAGAGTATTTCTGAAATACGAGTTATCTTGTCCATCACGATGAAAAAGTTTAAGTTTAAATTTTTTTTTCACTTTATTACATAGAATACATTCCAGTAAATAAACTGAAAAAAATCTTCAGCAACATAAAATGATTGAAAAACTTTATTACATAGAATACATTCCAGTAAATAAACTGAAAAAAATCTTCAACAACATAAAATGATTGAAAAACTCATTTTCTGTTTTTTAAATTAGTCTTCTTGCTTTCTATCCCTTGCCGACCCTCATAAACTGCTTGCACAGTTCTTTAAAGATAGTTTCCCCACAGTTACCATTTCACTTGTCTTAAAACGAAAATAATTTAGGTCTCTTCTTTCAAGGCACTGCAGGCAAAAGCCGCCCCAACTTGTCTTTGAGGTCTGGTCCTATCCTTGGCTAGGCTTTTTCAGTTTCCCTTATTTACTATATGAAATTCTTTCTCCACCGATTCTAGTCCCCTAATTGGTTTTCTTCCTTGTTTTCTATTTCTCATGGGATTAATAAAAGTGAGCTTTTTTTACTGGATTTGTATTATCAGATCAAAATAGATGTCTGAGCCATCATAGCCTATTTTTTTTTTATTTAAACGACTTAAAACTCCTCATGCACCACAAAGTATAGCATGAGGCTTACAGTTGTAAGTAGAAAACAAAAGGAGAAAAATTTACAAATTTACATTAAAAACAAAATTCCGCAAGGCCGCAAGACTTTCAATACTTTTGACCAGTTCTAATAAGACAGGTGGCCAACAAATTGAAAGACGTCTCAAATCAGTCTTTAAATTCATTCGGGCACTCGCATAGAGACTACAGTGAAAAAGAATATGTTCAGCATAACCGCAAGCACAAATTCCACTGGTCTGCAGATGGAAACGAAATAAATATCTCTTAAAATTTGGGTCAATTTAAAATCAGTTGCAAAGAATTTACATTGCAAACGGTGAAAAATGGATGGAAAGAACCTTTTCGTCCAGAGCGACCGAGGCGAAGCAAGAAATTCTGCATTCCAGTCCGCAATGATTTTATCTCTAGCGATGCGCTTCCAGTGAGAAGCTGGAACAGACACCCTTAAGTCTATTTCACCACACGTAGCTTCCTTAGCCAATTGGTCTGCTCTTTCATTGCCCAAAATACCGCTATGGCCACGAACGTAAGAAAAATGAATAGTTACGTTTTCAAGAGCGTTCAAAATCGAGAGAATTTCCACCACAAGCTTCTCAGTAGAAGTCGTGTCACGCAAAAGAAAAAGTGAAGAAAGAGAATCTGTACAAATGAGATATTTAAAAATTTGGTTTTCACTAAAAGAATTTTGTATCCACTTAACAACCAGGTTTATACACAAAAGTTCAGCCTGGAAAACAGTACATTCATTATGTAGTCGGTGCTTGGCAGTAACCTTCTCTGTTCCATTTTCATAAATTTATAACAGGTTTCATCATAGCCTATTGCATTTTATTATTTTAACAGTATCGGTTTACTGGATTTGTATTATCAGATCAGAGCTATCATAGCCTTATGCATTTTATTATTTTAACAATATCGGTTTTGTACTTTTGGTAAATTTCTAAGTTAAGCAAAGATCTGCTATTATTCTCATCAACTGCACTAAATATTTTTCTTAATAGTTTCTGTTCAAAGGTCAATGCTTTGAGTTTCATGCGACTTTGTTATTGCTCCGTATTCCCTCCCATAAAGCAGAATAGGTCATCTTTAATAGTGAAAATGTAGTGTTAATAGTCAAAGATTCAGAATAAAATTATAATTGCATATACATTTAGACACAAAATATGGAAATTGAACTCAAAAGGAGTATTGTTTCAATTTCATTTATTTATTCTTTTAAATTTTCCTCCAGCACTAAATAAGTTTTATTCTTGGATAAACGAAGTTGTGCTTGCATTGGCACACATTAGAGTTGCTTTCTATATTTTTTCTATCTACTTTTTAAGTTGCTTTCATTTGTAGCGTAATTATGAAGTCTGATTCGCTAAAATAAGTTGACACAAATGGAAACAATGCTTCGAGTCCTCTTTCTGCCTCCTGTGTGACTGATTAATTTTCTCCTAGAAATTTAGAAGAATTTTTTTAAACGAAGTTTATATCGAATTAAATTGTACTTCTTGTCAGAGAATTCAGGAAAGCATATCCCAAATACGTTTTCTAATGATAAAAAGAGGTCTTGAATAGAAATCAAATGTATAATCAGAACCACTGATAAATAAGTTTGGAAATAAAAAATTTCTGGCATCAGAGACGCCGGGAATAGCGATGAAAAAAATAATCCACAAGTATCATATTAGGCATCTATTTCACAATTCTCCTATTTTCCTTTCCAAATCTAAATCCCTTCTTGCCATTGGAAAGTTCATTTTTCAAACAATTGTAATGGAGCTCCTGTTTTTGAACACGAACGAGTCAGTTACATCAGAAGGAGAGTTTATCTTAAATTCAAAAGTTTCCTCGCGCACGTTCTTCTTTTATGGATAAGAAAAAGTACAAATATAGTTTGGTTAATGTTGCACGAAGCATGAAAAATATCAAATTAATTACATACAGCAGAAATTTATTTAAATTTTTAAATACATAAAAATTTCTAAGATTAAACGTTTGCGTAAGCGATACTAAGTTGAATGTTTAACTTATGAAAATAATTTTTGACTATCTCTCATATTAAAAGGAAGTTACTGGCGCAAAATCACTTCTATATCAGAAAATATTCGCCAAACATGCTTCTCACTGTCATAACTCAAAAACTATTCAATGGAATAATATGAGATTTTGCACATTACAACAAATCCGATTTTAGAATGTGATTGATGGCGGCTTTTTTACTTTAAAGATTTTTCTTCTCGCGGAAACGTAAATGGGTTACTCATCACTTTTGAATTAACTAAAAAATAGTTTATATTGACGGTTTCGGATGTTTAGAAAAAATAGTGGCTGTAAAATTGTAATTTTTAGTTTTGTACTCTTATGATTGAAAATAATAATAATGAAAAATTAAAAAAAACGTTGACCTCTTTCTAAAATTTTGAATTCAAAGCAATTAAATTTGAAAAATTTTGGTATTTTTTTTATAGAATCCTGAAAGTTTAACAAAAAATACGTTCTTTTTTACATCGTTTGGACACGTCGAATGTTAAATGTTCTCCTTTCGTTACAAAAAAATGGGATTATTTTAATTGGGGAGGGAGAGCTCGATTCTCAGAATATGCTATTCATGTTCAGTATTCGACGAGATTTGCCGATCACCAAATTATTTGTTAATCCGCTCGTGGGATAGTGAAAAGTTATATCTTTATTTTAGTTGCTAATTAATTAATATTTATATTTATTTCTCAATTTGTTCATAAATTATTTTATTTATTGGCTAGAATAAATAAGTGCATAATCGTTAAAGCAGCTATATATTAGTGGAAAAAATTGACTTGTTTTGAAAATATAAGCAACAAAATAATATAATTTTTTATTGAAGCAAATGAATAACATCCTTATATATATTTTATTCTACAAACAGTACGCCCTTTTTCATTATAGTTATAGCAAATCTATTTCCCTAGCTGTTAGTAAACTTGATTTTACTATAAATTAGATTTTTTAAAATATGGTTGTTTGTTGACATTATATTAGACAAATTATACTTATTTCGTAACTCGTAACACTTGCACTTATTTAAGAAGTTTTTGTTTTCAAGTTGCAGTGAAATAAAAATTGCAAAAACAACAGTAAGAAATTTGTCAAATTTTATCAGCACG